CCCCCGCCCCCGAGGTTCTCCGGAAGTTTCAGGGAAGCCTCCTGAAGGTCCCTGAAGCCCCTGGAGGGCTTAAACCGACCCTACGAGCAAACCGGAAGTCCGTTCCCGAACTTCCTGTTTGTCCATAGGGCCGGTGTTTTGCACTCCGGAGGCTTCAGGGAAGCTCCTGAAGCCTCTGGAGGGCCTCGGGGTGGGGGGAGGCTCTTTTCACCCTCCCCAGGCTCCTATAAAGCCTCTGGAGCCTGGGGAGGGCGAAAAATGGCTTTAAAAAAGGCTGAACTCAGCTGGAGCACATGCGCGTTGGCCAGCTGACAGGGCAATGCCTCACATGCCCTGACAAATGGCTCCGTGTGCTACCTGTGGCACTCGTGCCATAGGTTTGCCATCCTGGCCTAGAATAAAGACTGGAAAAAAAATATTTTTGTGTACTGTGTGAAAGTTAGGCAATTCCTTAGTGATGAAATTTACATCTAAGAATTTAAAGAAAGGGTCAACACAATCACATTACTTGCTTCTTTGTTTTCTTGGTCTATGTGCTCTACTAAGTTTGCGTATTAGGCTTAAGAATATGTGGATAATGCTCACATAATTTTTAGAAATCTGAAAAGTCATTGTGAAAAATCAAGGCACGACTATGTTCCAAAGCAGCCTACCCTGTTTCACATTTAACTATGATTATTTTATATGTAGTGATTGCCTTGTATGTCTATTTTGGTTAAACCAATAATTTTAACAATTATTGGGTAAACTTAACATTTAGGGAAAAATAAATATCAGAGTAGGTTTGGAGACGATGCAAAATGAGAAGGATTGCACATATCCAGGCAACTATTTCCTCTTTTTTTCCCTAGCTTTGGGGAAAGTTTTGGTGGTTTTGGAGTTTCATTTAGTACTGTATGTTAACCTATTTATAAAGTAGGTACCATAATTATAACACATTTTGGCTTCAAAATGGCATGAACAACAAATTTATGATCATGATTGGAAGAGACTTAATGGGATCTCAAAATGGATATTATGTGGCCCACCTGTGAGCCAAGTACAATTTTGCTCATGTCCCAGAATGCTTTATATGTTTCACCAACCAAACCATTTAATATCTCAGCTTATGCTCATCTTTGCCACCTCGACATAAAGCTTTCCCTTTCCTTCTTCCTTCTCAGGTGATAACCTGGTGCAGAAATGGCAGGTGCTGGCAGATATGTTTGTTTGTTCAGAGCGTTTTGTGTCTCTCCTTAGCAAGATTGAGACAGTAAGTGAAGCCAAAGCTTTTTGCCTGGAAACGCTCAAAATTTCCATGAAGGTGCAATCCATTCGATGGTAAGAAATAGGCAGACAAAACAAAAGGGGCAGAATTATGAGGAATTACAGATTTTGAATTAAAATGAACTGCTAACCCTTCACTATGATCTGTGTTCCTGGTTTGCCATGACATCAAACTAATCATTTGAAATACATTGGGATCCATAAAACATTATACCGTATTTATCGGCGTATAACACGCAGTTTTAAAACTAAAATTGCAAGCTTAACCCCTGCCTGCGTGTTATACGCCGATAA